ACTGCTCTGGAACTCACAGTGATCCTCCTGCCTCAGCCTCCCGAGTGCTGGGATTATAGGTGTGGGCTACCACGCCCAGCCAGACAGCTCTGATTTTAATTCCATCATCTGATGCTAAATAGCTAACCATCAGTAGTTCAAGCCACCTGAAAGAACAGTTGTACATGTACCACCAATGGTTCAAACCAGGGAGAACATGTTAAAAAGAAGCCAAGTACTCTGCATCAAAATAATAGGAAAAATGGCTGATAGTATCTCAGGAATCGGCACGACCCCATCCTCCACAAGCTGAAGAGTGCAAAGCTGCAAAGCTTCATTTGGGAAGAAAACTCTGGACCCCTTGAGAAAAGCTGACTGGGTAATTGGTTCCCTGAGATTGTTTCACAGTGCTCAGCCATCTGGGCACCCAGGGGGGCCTGACTATTGCTAGAACTAATGGTAGACCGTGGCTTCATGTGCTGAAGACATGCAGAATGCCAAAGTTATAGGTCAGGAGGCTTCCACCCAGATTTCAGAAAGCCTAGAAGGCCAAGCAGTGTGCCCCTCAGAGGGTAGTGCATAAAACTATGATAATGAAGCTGAAAGTGCAGTGGAGACCCAAGGAGTTGGAAGATGCCAGGAACATTGGACATCTGTTGACAAAAGCCACAAGCAGTGAGTGAAGGCACCCCCAGAAAGAGGCCATGAAGGCTGCAACAAGCAATGCTATAAGGGTGAGGTTGCCCAAGCCCTTTAGAGCTTATATCTCACCACATTCTGCTCTGGGCACTAGACACTGATCTATAGGATATAATGTTTCCCTGCTAGGTCTTCCTCTCACTTTGATATGATTCCTTTCTATCTTCCTGGGAATGTTTACTCTATGCTATTATATGTTCAAAGTGTTTAACTTTCTTTTTTATTTTTACAAGGGCTCACAACCAAAAGCTTGCCTTGAGTTTCAGAGGCAACTTTAGACTTGGACTTTGAAGCATTGCTAGAACTGTTTAGACTTTTGCAACTACTAGAAATGGACTAAATGCACTTTGCATAAAGAGAAGGACATAAGTTGTTTGGGAGCCAGGGACAGAATATTATGGTTTAAATAAAAAAAAATTGTCCCCCAAAAGGCTCATGTCTTCAGAGTGGAACTTTTGGAAGGTGACTATATCACTGGGGTTGTCATACTCCTCAGAGGAGTCATCCACTAACTACCTAAGAAGCTAAATGTGCATTTAGGAGGTGGGGCCTGGTTGGAGATAAGTCACTGGAAGCACGACCTGGAAAGGTGTATTCTTGTCCCTAGTTCCTCTCTTTCCTCTCTCTCTCTACTTCCTGGCTGCCATGGGATGAGCAACCTTGGCCCTTCCACTGTGCTGATTATACCTTGGAGCCAGCTGACCATGGACTAAAAAAAGTGAGTCAGAATAAACCTCTTCTCCTTTAAGTTACAGGTGTTGGATATTTTGTCTCAGTGATTAGGAAAGTGAACTAAGACAGTCTGTGATGTGATGCATTGGGTTAGCTGATTTTCAAATATTGAACAAGCTTAGAATAAATCCAATTTTATCTCGAATAAAGCCAAGCTGATCACAGTATGTAATTTTTTTCATACAGTGGTGGATTCAATTTGCCTATATTTTGTTGAAAACTTCTATATTTTATGTTCATGAGAAATACTAATCTGTAGTTTTTCTTCTTTGTAATATTTTTATCTGGTTTGGTACTGGAGCCATACTGGCCTTATAAATTGAATTAGAAACTGACCCTCTGCTTTTAACTTCTGGGAAGACTTGTAGAGAAAAGATATAATTTTGAACTTACCAATAAACCCACCTAGGCCTGGTGCTTTCTTTTCCAGAAGATTATTAATTATTGGTTCAATTTCATTACATTATAGGCTTATTTGTACTGTCCAGGCCTCCTTGTATGAATTTTCATAGATTGTGTCTTTCAAGAAACTGGTCCACTAGGTTATTAAATTTATAAGTAGAGACTTTTTAATAATATTCTTTTATTATACTTTTAATGTCCATGGAATAAGTAGTGATAGTCCCTCTCATTTCTGGTATTAATAATTTGTCTTTTTTTTTTTCTTAATCAGTTTTGTTGATCCTTTCAAAGCAATTTTGGTTTTGCTAATTTTCTCTAAGGATTTTCTGTTTTCAATTTTGTTGATTTCTATTCCTTTTTAGAATTATTTTTTTCTTCTGCTTGCTTTGCATTTGATTTTCCTCTACTAGGTCAAGATACAATCTTAAACTGATTTTAGAACCTTCTCTTCTTTTTCTCATTGAGTTTATTAATACATTTACAGTTACATTCATCATTGGAATCTTGTACTTTTACATGACAGGTTTTGGTTCTCAGTTTTTCCCCTTATCCCTGCCCTCCCTTCACCCCCTCCTCCCTTCCCTATTTACAAATACTTTATTTCCATTTTTTCATTTTTCTCATTTTTTTTCTTTTCCCTTATTCCCTTTCCCCTACCCTTCCCACTTCCCCTACATCTTTAGCCCTTTTCTTCCTATTTCACACTGTCAATTATATCATTAGGATCTATGTACCACTATAGTTTTTCACACAGAGAAACTATTTGGTTTTATACATGTGTGACTTATTTATTTCACTTAGGAGTATATCCTCAATATGTATCCATTTTCCTACGCATGACTAATTTCTCATTCTTTATGGCTGAGTATTTATTTATTCCACTGTATAGAAAAACTACATCTTCTTTATCCAGTCTCCAAGTGATGGGCAAACGGGCTGTTTCCAAGTTTTAGCTATTACAAACTGTGCCACTATAAACATGGATGCACATATATCACTGTGATATGATTCATTTAATTCTTTTGGAAAGATATCCAGCAGAGGGATAGCTGGGTCAAATGGAACCTCTAATCCCAGCTCTTTGAGCTGCTAGATCCAGGCCAGTTCCTGATCCTGAGAAGTGGTGGCCTTAGGCCACCTGTCTGTTCAGAGCAGCAGTTTGCCCTGTGGATCTGAGATGAGCTGTCTATTTGAGTTTTGCTTTCTTCTTGTGAGAATGGCAGCCATGTCTTCCAAACTCTTTAAATGTTGGGGTAGAAACTAGAAGTCTTTTCATCTTTTATCTATATCTCTGAGTGCTCCTTAAATTTCCTACAAGGCTGTTACTTTTTAAATTCAGGCTACTTTTAAAAATTTATTCAAACTTTTCACAAATCCTGGGTTGCTGTGCTCTGACTAGCTCAACTCAAGCCAGAAGAGCAACTGGCATGAAGAGGGCAGAAGGGGCCACCCCAGCTTGAGACTCAGAACACTACAAAGCTTCACAGAGGGTCAGCTACAATACTTGCCAGGCTACTATGGTTGTTCACAGAACACACATCCAGATTCATTATCCATTACTGCCCTGTCTCTGTTACTGCAGACTATGCAGAGGCCCCTGAGTAAGGTTTTACTAGAGTGACGTGTCTATCTAACTTGTGGTTTTTATATAAACTATGGGTTAACCAGGTATTTCATGGTTGATTTCATTTAGTAGTAAAATATGTATGTACATCAGTGATTTCTTTAAAAAAAGTTCTATAGATTCAAAACTCTTTTATGCTTATCATACAAATTTCCAAGAGGCTAATCCTCCTTTTGTCCCCAGCCTCACATGGGGCATACTGTGTCTAATCATCTGTTGGTGAAGGCACAGCACAATGCTGACTGGTGTCTATAGAGACATAAGAGAACAGCCTGGCTGTCTCATTCTGGCCCACTTCCTTAGTGGGAATGCCAAGTGCTGGTATTTAAGTGTCTAAAGAACTCAAAGGCAACAGGGCAATGAAAAATTATTCTGCTGCCCAGGATCCTGCCCATTATCAGGATGGCGATGGTATCACTACTCAATTAACATAAATAAGACTGTTCAAGAGGTTCCCAAGTGAGCAAAAATAATGAATCTGTATCAACTGACACAATTAGTCACTGTCTACAGTTACTACAACTTTGATGATATTTCAAATTGACATGAGCTAGCTCCAGACCTGCATGGAGCTCAGGATGGTTTACACACAAAAGTAAAAGAAGGTACAGAGTGGACAGTAGACACACAAATACCCAGAACACCAGCAGGTCCACAGTGAAACATTTCTCATCTGGGTAACAGATTCCCTCTATGGATGGAGTGAACAAATGGACAGGGTGTCTGACCAGGAGCACCCTCGGAAGACAGCGCAGACCCACGGCACTGGTCATTAACCAAGGGACAGCATTTTTCATGGCCACAAAAATGTATTCTTATCAACTTTTGTTTTTGAAATATAAATAGTCCTCATTTAATGACTCACCTGTTTAACAATTGTTTGGACTTATGACCATTCTGTACATCTTGTTTATAGAGGCTTGGGGTGTTTTTGGAAAGTGCACCTTGCTTATACAGTAATGTAATTTTTCCTGATTGTACTGTACAGTATAGTACTATAGTTTTATGTTGTTACACATTACATATGTTATGCAAATGAAAGCAAATTCATCAAGTTGGAGTTTTCTTTGACCATGTCTTTGTTCTAAATATTGTATTGTTCATACTATATATAATTCTTCATTTAGCAACCAATTCGTTTAACAACTTAGTCCCAGGAATGGAAATTAGGTCATTAAATGAGGAGGGTCTATATGCTATCTTCTCATTCTGTTTCATCTTCTCACCGGTACTAGTATAGATACAAAACTATCACCTCTCCTCTGAATTCTTGCAAGAAAGCCAAAGCTTTGGGGCATTCTAGAGCAAAACAGGTGCAGGGGCTTAGCACATGGCATGGGTCAGGCAGAGTGGGCCAGGGTCACCATGCATCCCCATTTTGGAGAAACTAGAGAGCCAGGTTTTCACAGGAAGTCCCTGTGTTAATGACTGCAAAAAGTGACACCAAACAAAGACCACACAGGCAACTCTCACAAAGACACAGGATGGAAGAGACCCAAAAAAGCCAACCATGGAGGGTAAGGGCACCAAGATCAAGATACCAGAAGACAGTGTAGAATCTTACCTTTAAAGTCAAACTGGTAGATGTTTTTTAAGGACTCATGAAGAAAATAAAAGCTTCCTAGTGCCTGTAAGAGCAAAAAAAAAGAGGATCAGAGGTGGACTCCTAAGCAAGGTTCTAAGCAACAAATTAAATGATCTCTTCAGGTTAGTGCAGGTTAAACAGCTGTGACTTAATCACAGTCACTGACACAAAAGCTGATCACAGAAAGCCTGCCAACATCCACAGCTAGGGTCAGGTGTAGAACTAAACTGGGGCCTCAGGGCAGGGCTTGGCTGGCCTTTCCAGAGCACTGACCCTCAGCTCCACAGCTGTATGTGGCATAAGATCTGAGCACTGACGCACTGTACACTGGCCATTTTCTGTTCAGTTTCGGTTTTCCTTCTCTCTTACTTCTTCATCCTTTAGAACGTGAGCTGAAGCCCAGTGACCAGGAGCTGCTTAACCTGCCCCATGTGTAGATTAATTGAGCAAATAATTGTGGATGCCATTTGTCATCCTGGTTAGGGAGATCCAAAAGGGCAGGGTACATTGTATTAAAAGTTACTTGTTGCTGCTCTTAAATTTGAATCTAACACGTCATTTTTATACACATACATATATATGATATATATGTTCATATACATATTTCTATGTGTATATTCATTATGTTTTGCTTTGTTAAATTTACAAATCCCAATAAGGGCCCTGGGGAACCTCTACAGTCATAGCTGCAAAACTGTCATATTTAAATTAAAAACAAAACAAAACAAAAAACCTACACATTTGTCAGAACTCACTGGACTGTACCCTAAAAGGATACATTTTACCATCTGCATATTATACTCTTACGAATCCAACTTAACAGAAAAGCCTTACTTTCACAGGGTTCACCCTTAGACAGAAGACATAAGAAGGCCTTACAAAGTTGGGCCAAGAAGATAGGCACATGGATGGGGAAGCCCTGAGGGAGAATGCAGCTATGACTAGACCACAGAGAGCCTTGCCAGAGAGCAACACTTGGTTCTAATCCTAGCTTTTTATTTTGAGAAAGAGTCTTCGGATAACTGAAAGTGCCGAACAGGGACACAGTGCATCCTGTACAGGTGTATGCACATACTCCGTTTCTGGCAGAACCATAACCCTATGATGCTTCACTCCTAAAGACACTGTATGAGTCTCCTCTAAGAAGTGCTTTTTCCTTCATAACTACAAAAATCACTGTCTTACTGCAGAAATTAACAGTGGTACCAAAATAGTACCTGACATCAAAGGCCCAATAAATTTCCCCATGGTCCCAAATGTCTTTCATATTACCCTACCCCCACCCCCAGCCCTGCACACACAGAGTTTTGGTGTCCTAGAGCTCTGGAGCCATGAGATGGGGCAATGCCTGGGGCAGCCATGCAGGAAAGAAAGTGGCCAGTCCAATGTTCTTGATTGGCTGAGAGCAACTTATAGGGACACAGGTGGGAGTGTGGTGACTCCTAATTCAAGGTCTGCCACTGTCTCATAGTCCCTGGGCATATGGTCAGCTCTTCAGCTTGCCCACACCATCTCCAAAGCACAGGAAGCCCCAGGAAAGGCCAGCTATTTCCATAATGGCTGCTGGGCAGCCAACAGGTCAGTGACCCAAGGACTCTCTAAGATAACTGTGCATGGGGATGGCTCAGATTAGGGCTTTTCCTTATCCTAGGGCTCCATGAAACACCAGCTTTAACCAACATACAAGGGACCAGAACTGGCTGTAATGTTAAGTTCTGTAAGCGTTTTTATTGAAAACATAACCTAGAGAACCACGCCTGCTCCCGACCCAGCAACCATCACTCAAGTGCCGGGAGGTAGGCCGGGCCCTGATCCATGGCAGGAAGGAGAACCACGCCTGCTCCCGACCCAGCAGCCATTGCTCAAGCGCCGGGAAGGTAGCCGCTCGGGCGCCACTGAACCCCCATAATCCCCGCCCCCGCACTCTCAGACCTCCTGACTGTGCAAGTCTTTGGACCCACTCTGCAAAGACAGAGGTGGTCATCAAGGGTATTTTTCTGAGTTCCCAACTTTGAACATCTTTAAAGAAAGGGCGTGGGAAACCTGTAATAGAACGTTGCAGAGTTCAACCATTCAGAAGGATGGGGAACTCAATCTGGGCCTTGCAGCCCGAGGTCAGTCAGCGTCATGGGGTTCAACAATCAGTTAACTGAGATCAGGGGTCTTGCATCCTCGCTCTGTCTGAGCCATTAAATGGTAAATATACTATATTGAAAAGTTTGTTCACTGCAGACATGTTCTGGACTGCTTCTTGATTTCAATTTAATTCAAAGGATTTAAGGGTGATAGACTAGTGATTACCACAGGTGGTCAGTGTCCAAGTTGTGCTTGATCTTAATATGTTGCTGATTGTGTCAGTTGGGGTAAAGCATTGCCGTTGATTTGATGAGCTGTTTTCTCTGATGTTATTAAGATGAGAATATCTGTGGGTCGTTAGAGACAGAAGCTAGGGTGCAACTATATCAGGAAGATTTGGGTGATAATCCAGAGATTAAACCAAGGACAGTCCAACAACAAAAATTAAAATGAGAAAACACTTAAACAAGACACAAGGACAGACTTCCAGTTCACCAATGCAAACAGTAGGGCAAATGAGGATGAAAAGGCCGATAGTGAACCACCAGGACACCCTGAACTCAAAGCACAGGAAGTAACAAAACAGATCAATCAGGCTCTAGAAAAATTCAAAACAGAAATAATTTCCCAGATAACCATAGAGATAGTGAGCAAAATGGAAGTCGTGATTCTAGGCTCTAGAGCAGAAACTGACAAAAAAATAGATGAGCTCAGGACTATGATAGAAGCCATGAAGGCCCAGCATAAGAAAGAAATGGAAAAAATAAACACCCAACATAGGAAAGAAATGGAATCCATAAAACAGATTCAAACAGATATCCAGGAGATTAAACACTCTATTGAAAGTGTACGCAACAGAATAAAAGAATGCGAAGATAGGCTCTCAGATATAGAAGATAAGATTGCAGTCAGTGACCATGAAAAGAGAGGTCTCTTAAAAACAGTAAGAGATCATGAGAAATCGATCCAACAACTCCTAGATGATGCAAAGAAGAATAACATAAGACTGATAGGAATACATGAAGTAGCAGGAGAAAATACAAATGACTTAAAAAAGCTGTTTGCAGAATTAATGACAGAAAACTTCCCAAACAGAGGGGAAGAATTTGACATTCAGATAACTGAGGCATATAGGACCCCAACTAGCTACAATAAAAAAAAATCTACACCTAGACATATAATAATCAAGATCCCAGAAACCCAACAGAAGAACAAAATACTACAAGCAGTAAGAGAAAAGAAACAAATCACATACAAAGGAAAGCCCATCAGAATCACAGCAGACTTTTCAACACAAACCCTTGGGGCAAGGAGAGCCTGGAATGAGATATTTCAAGTACTAAAAGAGAACAACCTCCAACCTAGACTGATGTATCCAGCAAAACTCTCTTTCAAAATGGATGGGGAAATAAGACACTTCCACGACAAAGAACACCTGAGAAACTACATGAATACCAAACCAGCACTACAAGCAATTCTAAACAAGATCCTAGAAAAAGACAATGAAGGCAACAACACCATGAGGCCCAACAGAGCAAATCAAATAGGCAAGGCAAGAAATTAAAAGGAGAAGGTGAAAAAGTAAAAAGAGTCAACAAAAGGCCAATAACATGTCAATAATAAGTCAGTACATATCAGTTATAACCAGCAATGTCAATGGCCTCAACTCACCAATCAAGAGAAATAGACTGGCAAAATGGAATAAGAAGCAAAATCCAACAATATGTTGTATACAAGAAACACACCTAGTGCAAAAAGAAGCCTATAGACTGAAAGTGAAAAGATAGAAAACAATTCTCCATGTGACAGGAGCCCAGAAAAAAACAGGGGTAGCAATCTTATTTGCAGACAAAGTAAATTTCAAACCAAAACTGAATCTAGTATTATTGATGTAGGACAGTACTGTATCATACCTCTATGAATGTAAAATATCTAGTACCTGCTTTATGATACATAGTAGGGACCGTGCTTTATCAGAGCTACATTTAATGATATTACTCTAGAATGTTCTCTTTCCAGATGATGATTAAGAGACTAATAGAAGAGGTACAAGATCCCAACAATGAATGTAACTGTACTGTATCCCTAAAATGTACCAATAAACTCAATTAAAGCTGAAAAAAAAAAAGAGGCTAATAGAAAAAATGGTGTCAGGTACCACAACAGCAACAGAACTTTGCTGTTGTCTGGATATTATTCTTTTCTTGTTTTTTTCTTTCTTTTTTTTTTTAATGGAATGTGCTGAATGTCTATAATTTTGTTCAGATGACTGCAGAACCTGGAAAAGCTGTTGCTGCTATCGATGCATAACATACTATTATTAGTATGTATACATACATACACACACACACACACACACACACACACACACACACACACATAAATTGAATTTTGGGAAACTTTAACGGTGCTGCCAACTTTGGAAAAAGTCATCTCAATTTACTGTGTTGACTTGGCATTGTACAGAAATGGACAACCATATTGGTCTGGAAATGTTAATTTTTTTTTCCATGTGTACAGGGGTAACACATCATACTAAATATGTAAGGTCATATCTATGTGGGTTTGATTACAGAAACTAATAAAGTATTCTCTAAATAATGAAAAAAAGAATAAGATAAGACTATAAGAGCGAGAAGCAATTTAAATATGTTCAGTGACCATTTTCATCTCCAGAATTAAGGATTATTTTAATGTTACATCATTGCCTTTTCTCTTTTACTTTCCTTTTTAGTTTTAGTTTAGGATTCCCTATTTTTAATGTTCATACAGAGATTTCTTTAACTGAAATACCAAATAGTTTCTTTGGTGTGAAAAACCATAATAGTAGACAGGATCCTAATGAGATAATTAATAATGTGAAATAAGAAGTAAAGGGCTAAAGGTGTAAGGAAAGTGGGAAGGGTGAGGAAAGGTAATAAGGGAGAGGGAAAAAAATATGAGAAACTGAAAAAATGGAAATAAAGT